AGGACAAGGAGGTTGAGGGCAGTGGTGCTCCCACTCTCTTCTGGTGCCCTTTTCCCTGCTCAGCACTTGTCCTGCAACACACTGGTTTCCCAGGACTTTTCCTACTCACCGGGACTGCCATGTCTCTTCTTTTTCTTCCTGTAGGAACCGCCACAACAACCACAAATACTCCAATAGGCACTTCCACACCGGCAGCATCAACAACTCCAGGTGAGAAGACAAAAGTCCATTAAGAGGCCCATGTGAGTCTGATTTGCTATTGCATGAYTTGGCAAGATCTAAAGACCTCTAAGGCCAGGACTGTGATTCAGTGTGCAGGTCACTGAGCAAGACACATGTGTAGCCCACAACTGTGCTCAGTATCCTYCACTCCACTGCCCTTTTCCCTGCTCAGCACTTGTCCTGCACACACAAGGGTTCCCCAGGACTTTTCCTACATACAGCACTCACCAGGGTTGCCATGTCTCTTTTCCTTCCTACAGGAACCGCCACAACAACCACAACTGCACCAACAGGCCCTTCCACAACTACAGCATCAACAACGCCAGGTAAGAAGACAAATGCCCATTAAAATTCTATGTAAGGCTCATTTGTAGTTGCATGATTTTACTGAGATCTTAAGACCCCCACGGCCAGGACCGTGCACGGTGTGCAGGTCASTGAGCAAGACACATGTGTAGCCCACAACAGTGCTCAGTATCCTCCCCTTGGGTGCCCTTTTCCCTGCTCAGCACTTGTCCTGCACACATAAGGGTTCCATGGGACTTTTCGTATATACAGCACTCACGAGGTCTACAATGTCTCTTCTCTTCCTTCCTGCAGGAACCGCCACAGCAACCACAATACCACCGAYAGGCACTTCCACACYGGCAGCATCARCAGCTCCAGGTGAGGAGRCAAATGCCCATTGAAACTCTGTGTGAGCCTCATTTGTGTTTGCATGATTTTACTGAGATCTTAAGACCTCCACGGCCAGGACTGCGCAGTGTGCAGGTCACTGAGCAAGACACATGTGTAGCCCACAACAGTGCTCAGTATCCTCCAATCAGGTGCCCTTTTCCCTGCTCAGCACTTGTCCTGCACACACAGCGGTTCCCCAGGACATTTTYTACACACAGTACTCACCAGGGCTGCCATGTCTCTTCTTTTCCTTCCAACAGGTACCACCACAGCAACCACAAATGCACCGATAGGGACTTCCACTCCTGTAGCATCAACAACTCCAGGTAAAGAGACAAATGCCCTTCAACAGCCCCATGGGAGACTGATTTGGGGTCTTCTGAGTCTATGGAGATCTCAAGCCCTCCAAGGACAGGAGTCTTCCCTTGCTTTGGCTTTCACAGCTTTCTCTCCCAGAGGAGAAGAAGAGATTTCCTCAGGCCCA